TCCAAACTTAATGTTTAGTTAGCAAGCTAGATAAGGAGTTTACCAACTAAATATTTACTTCCAAACTAAGGATCCAGAAGCTAAATATTATTTTATTTAGCATGGTAATTGATTAGCACTTAGCATGATAACCAAACTAAATATTTGCATGCTACATATTCATTTAGTGTGATAATTAGTTTACCACATAAATAAAGGTACTCGTTCCATTGGCAGATTATTTTGTGACAAACATCTTGTTGTGAGTGAAATTATCTGCCAGCAGAATAATTTAATGTTTTGCTGAAAAGTTACATGTAACCTAATTTTGTCTTACTTCATGTCTGCTGAGCTGTTTGTAGAAACTAGATCAGAAGTTCTTGGTAGGAGTTTGTGAAACTGTTTGCAGATTAGTTCCTAAAATAGACTCACTAGTTTCTCACTGTACCAGGACAGTTTGCCCACACTTTAAGACATTGCATGAGGCTGCCTGGTTATTTTGTTGCCTTGCATCAAAACGTTCCTAGTTCCAATCCCAACCTGGAGTCTTTCTGCATGAACTTTGCATGTTCTCCCTGTGCATGCGCAGTTTCTGTCTGGATACTCCTGCAACTTCCTCTCACCGTCCAAAAACGCGACTGCTTCTCTAATCTGACTTTATGTATCAATGTGAATGTTTGTTTATTCTGTCTGTAAGGATAAGCAGGCAGACAATGGATGGACGCATCATGCATGAATTTAGACCAATGTCCGCTCACATGCATATATAATTATCTATCATCGATTTTGTTGCAGGAGCTAAAATGGGGAAGCTAGCTTTCACAAAACGAGGTTGTAAAATAAGTTCTTTAAGCCAAAAATGATTCAAACTGAGTTTAAGTTCTGCAGTCCCAGTCACCGATCCCCTTTGCTGCTGCATTCAGGGTGAGAATCAACCCTGGGAGTGGTGCGAGGAGGAAGTTCACAGCCAGAGCTCCATGATAGAAACTCAACACCGGTTCTCATTTATTAACCAAAAATAACAGGATGTATTCAAGGACAACTGTGCATCGTATGTGTAATGATTCTACGATCTAACACAGCCTTATCTCAGTCACTGTTTTATAATCTTCCCAATCATCTGCAGCAATAAAATCCTCTCAGCCTGAACGTGATTCCTCTCTAAAGCAGCCAGATAATGTCCGCACCGGTTGTAAATGTAGCTGTAAAGTAAAGTAGCTGCATGCGCTTGATCTGATTCTGCATTTGCATAAAGTTTGAATGTTGCGCTTCATGATTTGCAGCACAGAAAGTAGCAAGACTAAAGGCAAAAAGTCTTTGTAGAAAAAATGGAGGCAAGGTGTCGACGTTTTAAGCTTTACCCATTTGTAATGCTCCAGTTTGACGCTTAAGTTTACCAGAAATTGTCTGCACTTTTAACAACCATCTGCCACTGCAAAAGGAGAAGTGCTGATGCCAATGTTAGCTTAGAGTTTAGAAGCGTGGAAAACACAGGCTGAACTGTGACAATGTATTAGGGCCATTCACCCTGCATTCAGACTGAATTTCCACCAAAAATATTCAGAAATGTTGAGATTATTCTCAGAAATTTACTTTAAAAAGTAGAAATTTCTGAGTTTGAAAGGTCAAAATTTTGCAAGAAAAAGATTTTTTAAAAAAATTAACTACTCAGACATTTTTTTAGACAAAAACACTTGGAAATTTCTGGGTTTGAAAAGTAACAAAAATGAAAATTTTGAGATTAATTTTAGAAATTTTCTAAAAAAAAAAAAAAAAACTTAAAAATTTCTCAATTTCAAAAGTTGAATCTTTTTTACTTTTATGAGTTTTTTTCTTGCAAACATTTGAGCTTCACTGCTCAGAAATTTACACGTTTTTTCTAGAATTTTACTCCTTTTTTTATATACAATGCTAATACGTCATCGTACTGAACGGTCTCGTTCTCATCCTTCTTGTCACTGCTAAAACTACAAACTGAATGCAGTTATATAACAAAGCAGCAACGACTTCTCCTGGTCATCGAAATTCTTTCAGAGTAATCCAGTTCAATGGGAGAAAGCCCAGACCGAGCAGTGAAGGAAGATTAAAGTCAAGCTGAATCGCATAGGAACACTGCAAAATGCAAAAGTATTTTTTGGTTTGGTTTCTAGTGCAGATAAATTATTTCACTTATAATGAGACAAAGCTAACTCACAAGTAACTTTTCAGCAAGATAATTAATAATTTCTTAATATTGATGAAAAAGTTCTAGTTTCCCTTGCATATTATGTCACTTATAAGAAATTTTTTTTCCATATTATCAGTGAAACTAGTACTATTTTATAAATATTAAACATGTATTGATCTAAAACAGGTTCCTATATCTTGCAGAAAAGTTACTTGTAAATTAGTTTTATTATTTTAAGTGTGGTAAAATATTTGCTCTAGAAAATAGACCAAAAATACTTGGTGAGATTTTGTGCTTTTGCAGGGTTGCGGTTTTATCACCTCAAATCCTTTAGCTCAACATGAAATCAGAAAACTTTACTCACAGGCTGACATATTGTCTTCTTCAATCTGTTTGACTCCAAAGAGCTGCAGACCGGATGGAGGCATCCTGGACTTTAACGAGTCCGTTAGCAATGTGTCCACTGATTCTGCTGAGTTGGAGGTCAAGTTAAAGGCCTGCAAGCAAAAATCAGTTAAAAAAACGTCAAAGAATAAAAAAGCAAACAAACTGAAAAACCAGGACAGACAAGAGGAAGCAGAAGTGTCTCACCTGGCAGATGAAGTTCACGGGGTCAGCAGCCTGTGTCAGATACCGGCTAACTTCTCCCATGCTGGTGTAAAATGTGACCGGACTCAGATCGACACGCGAGCCGTCGGCATGCAGAGTGAGCGAAGTCACGCCTGCAGGCATTTCTGTGTAGAAATGGCAGAAGAAAACACAAAGATAATGAGATAGTGTTTAGGAAATGCATCAGAGAAACTGTCTTCCTGCCGATGCTCGCCTGGTGCGGAGACGCTGACGGTGAACTCGTTCTCCACCGAGGCCAGAACCCGTTTGGACGCCGCGCCTTCAGGTGAGAACTCCACCTCCACCGGCGACCCGAAACCCACTCTGCTGCTGAAGACGATGAAAATCGTCTCTTGATCCTGAACAGAACAAACCAGAATACATATTACCTATAATATTTGATTGATTGATTGATTGATTAATCATTCTTATCGATTAATCAAATATCTTTGTTCGAGATATCAAATATCTAACTTATTAATAAATCAAAGATATCTATTTGATGAACCGATCTTACGATTAATCAAATCATCTCTGTTTAATTAATCAATTTTATCTATGATCAAATATGCATTTGATTAATCATTCGTATCGGTTAATCAAACATTATTGCTATTTGATTAATCAGTCTTACAGATTAATCAAATATCTCGTAATTAAACAAAAATTCTCGTAGTTTGGCTCTAATACATCACTTTTTAGAAATATTTTCTGTATTTTTTATCTTTTTAGAAAAGAAAGCAAACATAAGCTCCATTAAAATCAAAAATCGGACATTTATCCGGTGTCGCCCAGCTCTGGATTTTATTTCTTCATCCTCACCCCACACTGAACTCTGCTGGGCTGAATGGTCAGACATGTTGGTTGGGTCGGTGACCTGATGCGTTCTCCTGCTGAATCTTCGCCGCTCGCTCGCTCCTCCTCCTTCAGGAACGTTTCGCTTTGCTCCTCTGGCTCCGCCTCTTCGCTTCCACCTGCCGGGGGGTTTTCATTGGAGAGAGGAGAAACCGCTGCTGCAGCGGAGATGAGCGACTCTGCTGCAGGATATTCGCTCTGAAGCTCGGCCTCCGCTCGCCTGCCTTCAAACAAAACAGAAAAATTATCTTTAAAATCCTCAAATTTTTCCAATTTATCAGGCACAACTGGGATAAACACTTTAATATCCTTCTTCTTTTAGGGTTTAAGGAGGAATAAAAACATTTTAGATGCAAAGAAAACTTTAGATCGATCCAAAATATTGATAATATGGCTAATAGGTTTAACATCAGATACGATGAGATCAATACTTCATTTTCCCTCTTGAAATGTTTTTGGTTTAAATATTTTGTTTTGATTTACTTCAAAATTATAAATGTCTGCACTTCGCTGATTCAACATTTTCTTTTTATTTGCTCTCAAATGTTTTTTGTACTTTATGTGGAAAAACACAAATTTTCTTTGTTTTTCTATTTTTTCCAGATAAATTTGTTTTTAGAGTATTTCATAGACAGCTATAAAATTTGTCCAAATTCTGTCCTTGTTTGGACAAAACAATTTAAAGGAAAAACCACAAAAACACCTAAAGGTCCGAAGTTTGATGATAAATCAACAAAAAGTAATAAAAAGTATCAGTATCAGAGAAATGGGCCCAATATTTACTTACTTTACTTTTTTACGATAAGATAGGATTAAATAACGTTCACTTCTTTTTACTCCTTTTCACATTTTCTCTTGTCCTACTTATTGCTTCTTTTCTTGTTTTTAAAATCCTGTTTGAAATAAATAAATTAAATGAATTGGAAGAACAATTTATTAAATTAATTTTAGAAAATGTTGGTTTTATCTGTCTGTCCGTCTTAAAGACATGGTAAAATTGAAATTTCCAAATGTTAAAATCAAATCTCTGCAGATGTTTCAAACCAAAATGTGGATAAATATTTAATTCCAGTCGTTTGTTTTGGTGATGAAAGTCTGCGTACTGTCAGCTATTGACTCCAAAACGGTAGAAACATAAACGCCCGGCTCGTCGTCGGCGTAGAGTTTCCTCCAGCTCGGCCAGTCCTCGAAGTACTCCATGTTCATGTCGGCCTCCGCCACGCCGCACAGCAGCGCCACCACCCTGTGTGGAGGGTAGAGCAGTCTGTGCAGCGCGCCGTGCAGATCCGGGTCGTACAGGATGTCCAGGAAGAATCCCGTTAGCAGCACCACGATGCATTTGCAGCGCTGGAAATCCTCAAAGTTATATCCGTGGAGCTGATCGGCCGAGCTCACGGCGTAGAGCAACACGGAGCCCCGGCGGAAATGTTTGGAGGATTTTAGGATCTGCTGCAGGTACGCGGCCCACTCCTGGGCCTCCTCCGTGTGCAGAATCAGCAGCTCAAACGCCGAGGAAAACTCAGACATGGCTGCAAAACAAAGCATTGAAGCGCGATTTTAAAATGCACCAAGGTGGAAAAAGAAAACTTTAATCAGTGGGTTTAACCTCAACCTCTTCTGATTCAAACTACACTGCAAACACACAAAATGTTACCAAATATTTGTGGTCTAGTTTCTAATGCAAATATCTTAGTAAACTTGAAATTAGACAAAACTCACTTATAACTAACTTTTCAGCAGTAAATTGACTCTTGTCTTAAGGCAATACTTCCTTAAAATTGATGAAAAGTTCTTGTTAAATATTTATATTTAGTTTCTTGAGACCTACAAATGTAGTTAGGAGTGAAATGGTTGCCCTGCGACAGACTGGCGACCTGTCCAGGGTGACCCCGCCTCTCGCCCGGAGATGGGCACCAGCACCTCCCGACCGGGTGTAAAGAAAGTGGATGGATGGAGTGAAATGGTTAGCATTCTCCGTTATTTAGAGCTGCTGGATCAGTTTTTATCTCGCTAACTCAATATTTATTGTGCTAACCAAATTTTAGTTTCAAAGTAAATATTTAGTTGGTGAACTCAATATTTATTTTACTAAGTAAATATTTAGTTTGGAGATAAAATAAATATTTAGCATGTTATCCACATATTGGAGCTAAATATTCTAAATATTTTATTTACCAACTAAATATTTAGTTCATAACTAAGCTTTGAATAATGAAGCCACATTGTTTGCTTGTAAATACTGTGACATTCTGTGTTTTTGCAGTGTAACGGTAAATTTCAGCGATGTTATTCGCTGCAGCAGGTCGTGTGAAACGCGGTGCAGCATTCCAGCTGCTGAAAGTCAAGGTGACTGGCTGAGGGATGAATGTGTGAACTGTGTGAGTCAACGGCGAGTTGAGCAAACATCGCTGTGTCAACACAGCTCTGAGTAATTCTGTTTGACTCATTACAGTCGCTAATCGGGCCGAGTTCAGCTCTGTTCCTAGACACCGAACGGCAGCGCTCGCCTTCATCAGCGGCCGAGCGCTGGCATCTGCTGCGGAGACGGCCCAAAACTAACCGAATCAACGCCAAATGTGTGTGTGGTGGTCTTTATTAATTAGCTGCTGTATGCATTTAACCACACAGGATGCAGACGTGCTTGTTTCCTCTTTTTTTCCTTTTTCTTTTTTTTTAGCTAAGATGTTAATTCTCAATGAAAGCCCGACCAAATGCAATTCAGCAAAAACGATGGCTAAAATAATCGAAAAACGAGTAAATTCCGGTAATTTCCCAGAGAAGTAAGCAGGAAGTGAGAGGACTTGTGATATTTGGGTGTAAAAGTCTTAGGGAACGGGTGACACTCACCTGACTCAGTAATAGATGGGAGTCCTTCCATGGTTCGGGCTCAAATCTGCACAAAATCATCCCAAAAGCGGCGCCATTCCTCCAGATATTCTCCTTTTTTCCAGCTCCACCGAAGCTCTCTCTTTCGCTCGTCAGCTCACACTAACCCGGCGATTACCAGCTCTGGCCCTTTGCTGAGTCGTATAAATAGCAACACTTTAGTTTCCTGATTTTGGTAGCTCTGCCCCACTTCCTGAAACAGTTGAAGAAGTGAGAAAATGCACCCTTGTCTCATCAGAAACTGCAACAAGTCTGCCGTCACCACAGCCTCGTGCGCCTTCATGTCACTTACATGTTTATTTAAAACAGCATGTTGCAGACACAGACGACACGTTAAATTTAGGAAGCATACAAACAGAAGACGCATCCTACATCTTCATAACAGGCAACAACATTTTAGGTCACAGTTTTTGCTTGTTCTCCATTTAAAAAAGCAAAACAAGAAAAGCCCCATTAACAAACAAACGTATCGATTCACCTGTGAACTTCTTCCTATTTTTCACTTCCTTAACAAGGTGGCAGGAGACTTTCACACAAGCCTGTGAGATCAGAGTTCAAATTCTCACTGATAATCATCAGAAAACATAAAACAACTAGTGATTTCAGCACTTCAGAGATACGACAGGTAATGGCAAACTGGGCAGTAAAATCTGCTTTAAAGATGCAGCCATGTTGTTTCTGTGCTGCATGAGAAAGGAAGACGCGTGGGAGAAACTGTGAAGAGCTGCACTAACAGGGGCTTTTTAATATATACCCACAGAAAACTACATCTTAAATATTTCTGGTCTAGTTTCTAAACTCAAAACAGCCATTTGATTAAAAACAAACACACAATAAGAGCAGCAATTAAGCCAAAAATGTCAGAAAATATACATATCTTCCATTTACGATAAAAGAAACCAGTTTTTGTCTGTAAATATGTTCAACCCAGAACGCAAGTGGCAATTTTAGCTTCACCTGGTTCAGGTTATTAAAAAAAAGCTATCCAATTATTACTTTTGGTCTGGTTTTCTAGTGCAAATATATTAATACACTTGGAATAAGACAAAACTAACTTAAAAGTAACTTTTCACCAAGATATATGAGTTTAAGTCGTTAATATTGATTAAAAGTACCAGTTTCGATGGCAGGTTACTTCACTTGCAACATGGGAAAATGTCTTGTTATAAGTGAAATAATCTGCCAGTGGAGCTAGAACTGGGTTGCTAGGCAACGGCATGGGCTTGGCTGGCGTTGCTAGGTAACGGGTTCAGGGCCCCAGTAGAACTAGAACTTTTTTTTATCAATATTAACAAATTATTGACTTGAAACAAGCTGCTGTATCTTGTTCAACTATTTTAGTTTTGTCATATTTCAAGTGTTCTAAGATATTTATACTAGAAATTAGATTAAAAATACTTGGTAAGATTTTGTATTTTTGCAGTGCAGTAACTGCATTTAATTATATTTTTGATTATGTTTATGTTTTTGTTGAACGAATAGTGGAAAAAATAGTAAAAATAACATTTCCAATAATAATGTCACTCTTGCGTTTTATTTCATCATTAATTGAAAATTCTTACCATGGCAACAGTTTTTTTCTAATAAAAGATAAATAATATTATAAATGCCAACTTCTCAGTGCATTAGAGCATAATTGACAATTTAGTTAATTTCAGCTGATATTGATGATTTTAGCTTTAGAGCAAATTAAATCCAACATTTATTTGTTTGGAGTATTGGGGTGTTTCATAAAACCTGTAAGACTAATTTTTATCACAAAAATGTGATTTTGTGTCCAATTTCTGGTTTTCACAATCATAGGAAAAAGTAATTACTAAAACGGTTCTGTGTCCAAGCATACAAGTAAAAAGTTGAGTGGACGGAAAAAGTTTGGTAAAGGAACGTCTCAGCTCAGTTTTTTAGGAAGTGTCACAATGCAATGAGTCAGAGCGTTAAAGGCCACCACACACAGACGCATCTAGTTATAACATTTTATTCAGCATTTGTCCTTTTACATGTATTAATTTACAAAGACAAGGTTTAGTTTTTGTTTTTGAGAAAAAACAGACAAGTGAATAAACAGATATAAACACTACAGAGGTAGCAATGAAATAATATGGTCCAGAAATATTCTTCATAAAAATACAGATGGCATGAAATTTGGCCAGTATGATGATAAATAAAGGCTCTGACAATGTATTAAACGCACCGTACCAGTAGGCAACAACTAGGGATGCAACTGACTTATGATGACTTAGTAGATTAAAATTAGTTTGATTGGTAACGTCCGCTTAGACCTTCTTTTGGTGTTGTAGTTTGGCCTCCACCCAGCAGAGGGCGCTGCTGGTCATCCTGAAGCGGAGCCAGTTGATATAGGAACAAAGATGGCAGAGAGATCCAAGAACGGAAAAGAGAAATGTCCAAACAGAGTTCTGTTTGGGATGAAAGTTTACTTTATGTGGTTCTGTTTTGAAATATAAACACTTCATGAAGTCTTTAAGTTTTCAACTTTAGTTTTATTCAGCCGAGCTGCAAGCAGGAGCAGCAACAACTTCTCTCAAAAATTTGCTAGGAAAAAAAATCAGAAGATTTGAGATTAACCTCAGAAATTTTCCAGAAAAAAAAACTTGGACATTTTTACAAGTTTGAAGTCAGAATTTTTTGACTTTTGGAAATACTCAACTTTTTTTCTAGAAAATTTCTGAGATTAATCTCAAATTGTGATTTTATTTTTTTATTTAAATTTTTTTTTTTTGAAAATGTCAGATTAAATCTAAATTTCTGAAATTTTTTGTAGAAATGTACGCTTCTACAATGGTGCAACACACCCTCGTAATTTAATACAACTGACAAAATAATGTTAAATTTTATTATATTTTTGCTAAATTCAGGATATTCTGAAAAATGTTACCCTTTATATTATGGAAACGTTACGGATTTCTACTTGAGCGTAAAGAGAAATCGGTGTTGCACAGATATGAAAGAAAAGCCTGAAGGTCCCAGAATCAGGAGGAAGAGCGGAGACTCACAGAATCCACGCTGGTTCAGGTCCAGTGGGACGTTTCGGCGGTTCATGTCGTCTCCTGGTCCTGATCCAGATGAGTTTGATCAAAGCTAAACGAGACCAGACGTCTACCTGGAAATTTCACACCACTTCCTGCTTCCTGCTGCTGACGAGCTTTATGGAAATGCTGATTTCCCAGCAGGACTGACAAAAGTCCAAATACCTGCTTTACGTCATCAATGGCCGCCTCCGAGCCGCAAAGGACTTATGCAATAAATAATGAGCCCCAACCGGCATCTGAGTGCATCTGGAAAAGCACAGATGTTTCTTTCTGCAGAGTAAATTTAGTTTGAATTTATTAAATCAACTGAACTGCTGAAGTAAATTAAATTCAAATTAATTGAAATCCACTTTTATTACAGTTTAAATTCAAACTGTCATTTTGCTGCATAACAAAAATAATGCATTAAAGTTCTAGTTAAGTTTTAGTTTAATGCAAAGAAAAGAAAAAAAAACATTAATTTGCACCACACCATAACAACCACTAGAGGTCAGGAGACTCTCAGTTTCTTCAGCAGTTCCACACAGAAATCTCCATAAAGACACTTTGACTTTACTTTTATAACTGATTATTCAGAGGGTTTAGCAGCAATTTGTTTTCATCTGGTTGAATTACGTTTTGGATTATTTGGAGAACACAAGGTTCTCCAAATGTACCGACATCTCTGGTAAAGATGCAGAAACATAAATTAATGAAAATTAAACAAAATGAACCTTTTTTGTTGCAGTGGGATAAACTCCCACTGAAAATAGTCAGAAAAATCCAGGTGTTAATTTCAGTGAATTTATCTACTGTGAGGAAAAGTCTACATGCTAAGGAATAATTGGTAACAAACTCAGAATTATCCACACCCATAAAAGCACCAAGGAAATGCACTTTCCAATCAATGTCACTGATTTTAAATCAGCTACAAATGGGGGAAAAACACCATTAAGCCAAGATTAAAAAAAAAAGAAAACAACTTTTTCTTTATATCTCAAAGTTTATATTTCTCCCTCACATTAACTTTTGGTATCAAATTCTGGATTAAACTGTATTTAAACTCCTTAGAGATCTATAAACTTGTCTACATTCTTCTCCTAGCGCAGATTATAACAAGTAATGAGATTAGCTGCCAGATTAGCGGATGATACTCCGCTCTACATGATGCCACCAGTCAATTAACAGCTTCAGTTATTTCAGCTGGAAACTAGAAATCAGGCTGAAACCTGAACCTTCTGAGACACATAAAGACAGTTATAAAGTCGGCCTTCCATCGCCTGAAGAACATTTCCAGGACTAATGTCCCAGCAGGACGTAGAGCAGGAGTGAAAACTCATTTTCATTTTGGGTCACATCATAAATCTGAACATTGTTAAAGGGCCGGTTGTGCCAAAATGTGTTCATTAAACCAACTGAACTGTTAAAACATTAATAAACTGCCTGTTGTTTCAGCGCTCAGTAAGTTTCTTAAAATTAAATATTATTCAACATTTTTTCACACTGATCAGTCTCCAGGATTGTTTTTGTGTTTCTTTGCATTCAAAATCACAGATTTTGCACTAATTTATAAATGTTTGTAAGGACTTTTTACTATATTTGCGGTAATGTTTGATGTTAAATGTGACGTTTTATTACTCGCCGTATCGATCGGACTATAACTTGACACCAAGTAGGCTGAGGCAGCGGTCGCTTAAACCCAAAGTTTTTGACCAATTTTGAGAAATTATGAAATGAAATTAGAAGGATTTCATTGTTGATTCTGAGTGAATTTTGAAGATTTGTGAAAAAACTGGAGGAATTTACTGATGTAATTTGGAGTCTAGAGGGCCA